ACTCTAGTCTGGCCCACTGGCCAGCTTTGGAAATTTGGATTTTAACAAGTTTTAGAAGATTTTACACAATTTTACTGTTAATTTCACAAACATTTTTACAGTGTAGGCTTCACATAAACATCGTCATGGATTCCCTCTAACTTTTGCTGTTTTGCCTTCCAGCGATAAAATCACACTTCATGCACAGCTCTCTCTCTCTCTCTCTCTCTCTGTACACTTCAAGAACAGTTTCCCATCTAAAAATCTGTTTTTCTGCATTATTAACTTGCTTATTATGTACAGCGCTGTCGGACGCTGTTTTTTTTTCCTTTTACTTACTTCTGAAAAGAAAACCTCATTTCTGCTGTTCAATACTGAACAAATTTCACTTCAGCAGCGTTTTTGATCTACTGCAGAATATTTTTATAAAATGCTTACACCTCTGATGAAGTCTTGCAAGTGTCAACTTTCTTTTTATAGATATAAAAATAAGGAAATGTACTGATGCATGATCTGAAATATAATATTTCTGACTGTCTGAGGCAAAATTTCCCCGATCCAAATCGAATTGAATCAAATCGTATCGATTCAGGACCTTGTGAATTGGAATCGAATTGATTCTAGATATCAGTGATGATACCCAGCCCTAGTACATGCGGCTGTCTTCTTGTTTGATAGAGTGATACCATATATGCCCTATAGCTACAAAAAAGGCTAACATTGTTATCTTTTTACAAAGAAAAACAGCTAAACATGAGAGGTTTTTGAACAAAGTTTGTGTTCTCCATTCTTAAAACACCGGTTCGAGCACCGTTTAAGCACCGGCACCGTTTCAAAAATACCGGTTTGGCACCGGTATCGGATAAAACCTAAACGATACCCATCCCTAATTATGATTGCCCCATCTGCAGAGCTGATTTGACAGCTTCTGTTTAAGATCATGTGACAGTTCTGTGGGATACTGGGCTACCGTTCTGGTGCTTTGAACATATATTTTTTGGTGAAAAAATTATGCTATGTCAATTTGATTAATACATCATTTTGATGAACACAATTGTGTGTTCTCCCTTTGCTTGTGTCGTCTTGATGTTTTTTTTTCTTAATAAAAATCCAAAAAACACTTTGAATGTAATCTATACAACACAATCTTAAAATAGGCTGGAAGTATGCTTGTGCTCCATGTGATTATATACAGCGGGGAAAATAAGTATTTGACACATCAGCATTTCCAGCAGTAAGGGGATTTCCAAGTGGACTATTGACACAACATTCCCACCAGATGTTGCCATCAAGCCAAACATTGAAGTCATACACACAAATCAGAACATTTAAGTATACAAGTTAAACCATAATAAATAAAGTGAAATGACACAGGGAATAA